CCGGTGTGAGGTTTAAGCCACTGGGTCCGGGATGCAAACCACGGTTGACTACGTGGGAGTCCAGCGACATAGCCATTACGCTAACTGCTGGTCCCCCAAAAAGTTCTTTATATAGTCTAAATACTAGATCTCTATCAGATATATAAGTATTTTCACCCATTGTGTACTGTGTCTTTTTACTTTCTTTGTGATGTCCTTTTATTTATTTATTTATTTTTTCTTTTAAAACTTTTATTATTGGGGCTGGCAGTGGCATAGTGTTTAAAGGCACTGGACTCCCACATACTTTTTGCTGTAGGGCACATGTGCTTGCCAGAAAGACAGAGAGACAGAAAGCAAGAAATCACCCCCTGGGGGGGTGGCCACGCCACGATCCCTTCTCCTCCATTCTCCTCTCGGGATCTTGGGCATGCATGCACACACGCCCAGTGTGAGTTTAAGCCACTGGGTCCGGGACTGGAACCACGGTCAACTACATGGGAGTCCAGCAACATAGCCATTATGCCAACTGCTGGTCTCAGTCTTATTGTTTTTTAATTGCTGAATAGTATTTCATAGAATATACATACGTACATACACATGTGTTGTACTTTTTCAATCCATTCATCTGTTCATGGACATTTGGGTTAGTTCAGTGTCTTAGCAATCATAAATAATGCCGCAGTAAACTTTGATGTGCAAGTGCTTTTCCGACTGAACATTTTCCTGTCCTTTAGGTAGATGCCCAGGAATGGAATTGCTGGATCATATGGTAGTTCTATTTGTAGGTCTTTGAGGAACCTCCATATTGTTTTCCACAGTGGCTAGACCAATTTATATTTCCACTGATAGTGTAGAAGAGTTCCCCTTTCACCACAACCCCACCAACACTTACCATTTTTTGTGTTTTTAATCTTCACCATTCTGACAGGGTTAGGTGGTATCTCATTGTGGTTTTGATCTGCATCTCCCTTATGATGAGGGATGTTGAGCATGTCTTCATATGCTTTTTTGGCTATTCCTATGTCTCCCTTAGAGAATTCTTTTTTCAGCTCATTTCCCCATCTTTTAATTGGGTTAATCATTTTCTTTTTTTTTTTCCTGGGTAAGCTGTTTGAGTTCACTGTATGTTTTGGTTATCGGTCTTTACCTGAGACATAATTTACAGAAATATTCTCCCATTCTGAGAGTTGTCAATTCACGCTAATTACTGTGTCCTTTGCTGTACAGAAACTTCTTAATCTGATGTAATCCCACTTGTCTATATCTGAGATTATTA